TCTTAAATAGTTTCCAGAGGGCTTTCTTGTGAAAAAGTTTGAGGGAATTCGATTTTTGCATTTTGCACACCTATCCGTAGTATTTACAGGAAGTCACTCATAATTATCTAAGAAACAGCCTGAATCAGTTTTTGCATATGTTGCCCCTCCACACCCATGCAATATGGATAAGACATTTTGAACAAATGGAAGCATTTTGCCATTTTTCATCATTAAAAGGAGGAAAGGGGGTGTTGGCAAATAGGTGTATTTAGAAGCTGATTGTAATTTCAATCACATGTTTGTGTTCCAATCAAAGTTGATGGGGATTGTAAGTTTCACTGTTAGTACATGCTGTTATTTGGTTTGACAAAGTATATAGGCAGACAGCCAAATGTATCGTACATTTCCATGATACTTTATTTAAATTAATAGTAGAATCATTCTACACTCTTGCTTTAATACATTACAATACATCAAACTTTACATTGCTTAATTTACAGCAGAGTACACACATGAATTGCAAGTTCTATGACTACAGTTTACAGTTACTGTAACTTATAGTATTATATCAGTTAATATTGCATAAACTTTTGACTACTTTACGTGCTTACACTTAAGTACTTGAACAAACTACCACATGACTGTTTCATGTCGCAGTGAGACAATGCTTGTTTTACAATTATATATTTGTATCTTTTGCCTTGTTGTTGCATCATCCTCTTCCTTAAAATCATTGCTTGTTAGCTTCTGTCTAGAACTTTTATAATATGTTTAGTTAAAACAATATCCATGTACAGCTTTACTCCTTCAATTATAACTCATTATAATCATTACTGTGTTTCTTTGCAGGTTTCTATCAAGACAAACCTCTTTTTTTTTCTTCCAAGTATGGTGTCATCACTATAACATTAACAGGGCCTGTGGTTAGGTGGGTAGCAAATGTAAATATGTTTACTGGTCTCAAATTATACATGACACCTACCAGGTATAATCTGCATTGTTCCTTAGTCTGAATCATGCATTATTACTGTTAGTTATTAACTGCATCCTGTGTGATATTTCATAAGTTTGGTCGAGAGCATACAACTTCTTAGTTTACTCGCCGTCTTCCTCATCTTTACTGTCAGTATGATGCTCAGAAATTTAATTTCCTTCCCCTACACTTGGGTACTCCATGGTAAGAATTGCCCGTCTTGATGATGCTTTCTTGGCAATTTTTGAACTGGAAGCAAGCCCAGTAGGAGATCAATCTCTGCAGCAAAAAAGATCAGAAAAGGAAAGGTGGAAAAAAATAAAAAACCCGAAAAGCCTAGAGACGTAGGTCACTTTCTCGTACAAAACCAAAATTTTGATTTATGTGCATGCTCAGGCAAAAATGTTGTAAAATTCGATGCTAGTCAAAAGAAAGGTATGCTGTCATGCTGCAAATGCCTTTTTCAATATCTTTGTTTTTTATGCATGGCTTGCAAGTACAACATCTCTTCATTACTTGTCATTCGCATCTGGTATCAGAGAGATGTTCAGTCAATTTCTGGGGGTACAGACACTAAAATCTAGAAAATGAATGAGCAAACCATAATCTCCTTTTTTACCAATTTTATGTCTTTGCCCTGCTGACTCCAGAGCTCAACTCTCAGGAAAAAACCTTGGGGCCAGCTGGTCCCTAAGTTTTCAGATTTGGTTGCCAGCACAAGTATTTTAGTCACCAAAAATTTTTGGTCCTAAGATCAATTTTTTGGTTTAAGTGACCCTGACTTTCCCATGCTAATTGTGTTTTAGTTGATTTCAAATGCCACCATACACTGCAAATATTTTAAGCATATTTGTGTTGCTTAGAGTGAAAACATTTTTGTCAAAAATATACACAATGCAATGAAATTTATTGAATTTCATTAGTAGTTACTTTTGCACAATATAGTACAGTCAAACCTCTTTATCATGGACACTGAAAGGCCAATGTGTCTGTATTATGGAGAGAATGGTTGTACAAAAACTGATTTTCTCTTTTGAACTGTGTATAATTTAGAGATGTCTGCATTATGAAGGTGTCAGTAAAGAGTGGTTCAACTGTGCTATTGTCTCTGTTCCACATAGTTTATGTAAAAGGAATTTGTTGTTACTAATTAATTTTTACTAATTTTCTTAATTTTTCATATCTTAATGTCATAGTGAAGAGATGGATGTTCCTCAGATGGAGTCATCAGAGGTTAGCTTTGTTTAGTATTTTCAGTTTTTTGCTTGTCAGTCTCTATGATCAAGCCATGTATGTTTTCTATGCAATCTTTATTGTCAGGTATTTGCCATTTTGAGTTATGAGAAAGTTACAAATGCCTCATGTGGGCTCGTCTTGGGTATGAAAAATTTCACACAGTAGGGCTTAGGTATACATGTATGGGTTACTGACCAAGCTTGTTCGGTCAAGATGGCTGGATATTGGCTGAGTTCCGTTTTTACATGTTTATGGACCAAGACTCCGTCTCTAGGATTTATTATTTGAAAAAAACACTGTTTTCTTGCAGGACACGGGGTAATCCCAAGCAGGCAAGATAGCGCCATCTTGCCCGCTCGGGTAGCCAATCACAGTGCAGGATTTGGTTCATCTTGTCCACTCACAGAGCTACACATATAATGAAAGAGTGTAAATGTTCCCTCATAGGAGAATATTAATGAATACCTAGTAATAATAGCGGAGTTCCTGATTGCAATAATTACAGTAACCATAAAGGGAAAAAAGGATTTGTTTTTCTTGGATCAGAAACTTAAAAAATGATCAATTGTGAGCATGTAATAGTTCAGCGTGTGGTTTTGTTATTTTTTCCAGTTAAATTTTAACAAACTACTGTATACCCAATAAGCATAACCAAGATTGTGGAAATTACGTTCACAATATACATGTATCTGGGACTTTCCAAGAGACAATTGTGCAAGGAATATGTCGGAAGAAAAGTCAAAAACATGCCACGGGTTAATATGCCAAAATTTGCCTTTGCATGAACTCCCTCCTTCACCCCCAGAGTAATAACCTGACTTGAGCCTGCGATCCAATTTAAGAGCAAATGCACAGAAATATTGAGCAAAGCATGGCCACGGTCAGAATTTAACTAACCTTTGTTTGGAGTTTATAGAGAAGTATTTAGGAGTTTTCAAAGGTTTTGGGGTTCATTTTTCTAAATATGGCTTTCTTTCAGGAATATTTGGGAAAATGGATTTCTCGCTCTTTTTGGCCGAAAAATGGCCGAATAAATTAGCAAAAAATAACATTGCAATAACATCCTTGCATTAATAGGTAAGACTATATCTTCAGGAATTAGATACTAATATTAAAGAAGTTTTTGGCACTCTGTATTTGTCTGTTTTTTGGTTGCAGAGGATAACTGTCGTTGCAAAAAACAATCCTTTGATGAAGATTTGAAATTAGCTGTTGTAAAAGTTTTAGACTATAATTACAAAAATACTTTTCGTTATGTGGCAGGACTCGAATCGAGGTCATTTTATGGCTATAAAGTGTCGAAGTGCTCTTGTTGCATGAAATATAGAAATTTGCTTGGGTTTTTTAGCGGGTGCTTTGAAAAACACCACCCAAATCTGAGAATTTTCTCTGAAATTCCAACCACTTTGCATATTGTCACGGTGATGAAACACTGACATGTGAGCAATAAGCGGTTTAATACACTGTTGCTTTAAAAAATCCGCTTCCAATAGCAAAGTATTGAATTGAGGTTTTCAATTAGGTTAATCTGATGCTACAATGGATGTGGTTATAGAGGAGTACATTATATAAAATAAGACAAATGTTCATCACTGAGACTCTGCAAAGGTCACCAGGTCATCATATACTTTATCACTGTACAGAATATTTCATGAGCCATAATAAATTATCCCTTGAACCTGAAATGAATGCTTTTCTATGAAACCATTGATTTATTAAGTTTTTGAATATACCCGTAGACCTCTCAGAAATAACTATAGGCCAGTATCACAACCTTTTAATTATGTTTGTTTCTTATCATTGTTGGCGGCCATTGCAGATATCGCTTACTGCCGAGGTCAGTAGAAATGGTTCCTTTGCTTAGCTGTAAACGAGATATTTCAAGAAACAGGCCTACCTGAGTCAAATTGAAAATTTTTTGAAAAAGTGTATCTGCTGTTCACCATAAAATACTTCCTCGCTTTGTAATGTGATAATTGTATCGTGAAGAATTTTTTGAGTTAGCTATTTAAAGCATAATGATGGTCTGGTCGCTCTGGGACTGCAAAATACAAATAACATTGATTACGATAAACTGCCATTGATAAGCTCCACCCCCGTTTGCCCTTAGAAAAAGCTCCTGGGTGAAGGCCCATTGTAATATAAAGGAAATGATGTTCCAGTTATATTAAAACTCTTCCCTCCTAATTTAACGACATTAACCAAGAGATTATGATCCTGTATTAACTTACTTCCACACATTGTAATAGCTGCCACTGAAATAGCCATCACGCATCGAATAAGTAGAGTATACAAAAACCCAACAAGATGCATTTTTTTTATCTGAGTTTCTTGAGTGGCCACAACCTGTAAGGATAGATGAAATAGATTTGTTGTAGTACTAGAATGCATTTCCTTATCTTGAAAATTTTACTTCCATCGGTGTGCGGTGCAGCCGTTTCAAAAGGAGCATCACAGACTGACATTACCATGACTCTAAGTCATGACCCTTGACCAAATGAACTGAATTATACTTTCCTTAAGAAGATCTGGGCCGCAGCATAAAATGGAGAGTAGCTGGACAGCATGTAAAAGTAAGTCATCCTTTTTAAGCTGCGAAGCAGAGTTTAGGGCAATAATTTCATTCAAAACCTGCATGTTTGCACTTTATAGGTGTAAGTGTCTGGAATATACTAATTAGTTCAAATTTTAGTGAAACTACTCAATTTTCCAAGGCGTTTTTTAAAGCACTCGCTTAAAAACCTAGACCAATTTTTATATGAGGTGTAAGGAGAACATTTAGACTCGTTATAACCAAAAAACAAGCCTGATTGAACAATGGCCACATATCAAATAGTAGGTTGGTAATTATGAGGTGAAACTCGATTTGCTGAGACTGTGGTGAAACCTTATCAAAGAATGTGTTCTCGTAGCAAGAAACATCATCTAGAACCAAAAGGTTGGCATAAATAAGGTGTAAAATACTCCTCCTTTTATGTTGGCTTCTTTCTTCCTGGTGATATAGACTTTACTACTTATGCAAAGACCTTAATGCGAATGCCAATTTAGGCTAATTATTCTGCTATTTTTTGCCAGCGAGAGTGTAAAAATCGATTTTCTCAAATAATTCGAAAATCCGGCCATATTTTGATGAAGAAACCCCGAAAACTTTGAAAACTCGTTAATACCTCATTACAAATTGAAAATGAAGATTGGTTTCATTTTTGACCGTGGCCACAAGTTTTACATTTTGTTAGATTTTTCTGTGCATTTGCTCTTAACTAGTTTCTAGTCAGCGGTCAAAACATGTGAAAAAAACATGGGGCCTTGATGAGCTCCAAACTTGAGCCTGCAATATGGTCACATGATACTGGTCAGCAGATACCTTGTTTTGACAGCTGTCGATTAACCATAACATGGATGGCCAATATCAAAGATGTACCTATGGTAATGGTGTTACTCCCTAATTTTTCAAGGTATTGGACTTGGCATACGGACATACAGACAGTCACATGACAACCAAAATTTTTGTGATTGATAAGTTACCAAATTTTCTAGGGTATGGGGCTTCGCTATAAAAGTGCTTGTAAGCATTCCAGTAGAACTATGAAAATTAAAAAGAGGTGGCAAATTGTACTGAGAAAATCTTGGGTGTTCCCTTATCTCATTTTTAGTGCAGAGTGCACTATTGGGATGGTTTTCGGGGCTGCTTCCTGCTAAGGTACTAAGGCGCTATGGTGCTAAAGTGTAAACTTTACTGTTTGTTTAATTAATTAATTTCAATTAATTAATTAGTCTAGAGGCAAGGAAGTGGTGGGGGTGGGGTGGGAAAGGTACATGTGTATTCTAGGTAAAACATGTTCCATCACCATCAGTTGGATATGAACATCGCAAAGCTATATATTTGTTTCAGGTAACCCTTAGCTCTCCTTGTGGTACCATTCTCTTTAGAATAAGACTAATTTGCTCTAAACGCATGCATAGATTAGTTAGCGTTCATGGCTTCTATATTACATGGAGGATACATTGCATACGGAATCACACAAATGTTGAGTGGTTTTCCTTGTGGTAGAACTCAACATGTAAGACACATGTGTTCTAGCATCGTTAGTGTTAAACACTATGTTTCCATGGGGTATTTTACATGTCATGTCATGTGTCCAAGGACAGCAGTTATTTTTCAGGTAGTGCCAATTGTCCCTTTTTATTGCAAAAGTGAAACGTTACTGTGGCTGCGTAGCTTTTAGAATTACACACTGGTCGGTTCAACAAATGTCATCTGCTGTTTTCAATCTACAATAATGTGTTTGTCAGGGTTCAAATGTATTGCTTCTCCTTAGCAGCTTGTTTATTTCTTGCCTTAATTGTGTCTGTAAGAGAGACCAAAAAGTTCCCAAGTTAGCAGGAAACCAGGAAAGTGCTCAAATATTACTGCAGACTCCATGGCACCTAATGAAAGCGCAAATTGATTTAATCAGTCTTTGAGTCGGCCAAGTAGCGCTGTTTATCTTCAATACCTTCTGTTGAAACACTTCTCAGCCATCAATATTGTTGTGTGTTAATTTTGAATTGTTTTTTTGTTAACAACAAAGGTGGCAACAGGAAAAGAAAGTGGTATTTTGTGACTATCTGATAATTAAATTAGTTCTTGTTCATCGGTGATAGGAAAATTTGCATTTTTAGTAAGACAACATCATTTCTGTTCCGTTTCTTCATTACTACATCAGATATTTAACTGTCTTTTATTTATCTCCAAAAAACAAGCATGCCTACTGTGTGTTTTGGAGAAAACAAGGGTTTCATATTAAATGCCTGTGCAAAAGTATCAAGTTACAAAGTTGGCATGAAGAGCCAAATGGTCACATTTGCTGCTTCAACGTATTATTGAATTTAAAACACCAGTAGTAATTTGCACATATTTTTGGACCTTGAATGAAAATACTACCTTGAAACATACACAGTGCTAAGGAGAAAAGCCCTAGCAGACTACCAAGGTAGACACAAACCGGAAGTGAACCAATCAGAGGTGAGTACATCAATTGTGCTCTGCACTATCTGAGATTGTCTCACTAGTTCTGTTTCATTCGTGTTTACATATAAAATCATGCAAGTCTCATTTCTGGATTCTCAAGCAAAGGCCTCTACATCTCTGCAAGTCATCCCTTTGCAGTACTTAATTTCTGTTAAATATCAAAACACTGCCAAGTTAAATACAATATACATTTTACTCTCAAGTCCAATTAGATCTGTAAATTTAGCAAATTGACGTCAGTTTTTTTTGTGTCTGTCTATTGATGACTGTGGAACCACTCGCTTGCGGTTTGTGGTTCCACAGCCTCTTTGACAATGTTATGACACAATATTCATCATCAATAAGAGGACAGACACATAAAAAACTGACATCAATTTGCTTTTTACAGTGGCAAGACCCCAAAATGGTCAAATGCCGTGAATAAACAAGGGGAAAAGACGCCATGAACAAAGATAAGTGAATTTTGTTCAAAATGACGTGATCATTGTCAACAGCATTTCTCGCGTTTTGATGGGCTACTTGCAAAAGTCCATAAAATCTCATTGGCTAAAAAGTTGAAAGTTCGACAGCTGAAAGTTGAACTTGAAAGCTTACATAAATTAAAATTTTATCTGTCTGTACTCTTATTGATGATAAAAATTAGCCAGTCAGCGTGCAACAAACTAGACAGTTATTGTAAAAAATTAAATTGAGCAGAGTAAATTGTTCAGAGATCTATGTTTTCTTCTGTTGCCAACTTTTTGCAGGAGGCAGATTTTTGAAGGTGGCCACAATACTGGAAAACCTAAAGCAAATACCATATCTTTATCAACTGTTTTAAGGGTCCTCGACTAGAAATATCTAGAATAATTATTGTTTGCAAGGGTCGAAAAATTGAAATTTCTGGTGCTTTGCCTGGAGAACACTTTTGGGGAACCTTCTTCAAATATATTATTGTAACTTTCTAAACATCGAAGTGTTTTTAAGAATTAATTAAGTTGAATTATGCATACATTACAATGAAATTTGGCTAAGGTCTACTCCCTTTTATTGAAACACTTTGCAATGCTCATAAAAAGTGACCGTAGAAAGAGCATAACTGTTCTACTTTCTGGCAGTGCTTCTGATGAAAGTTCTGCAGTTGTTTCAAGGATTTCAGTGCCCTTTAAAGAATTATGCCATCTCAAGCTTTAATAAGGTCTACATCAACATCCAAAAACTGACTAGTTACAGGAGCTCAAAGTGCTCGCAAAAAAGAGAAAAACTTCTCATGAGTACCTTCCCCTGTAATAAGGTGTATTTTGCTATCAGTCTGTTAAACTAGGCTTCTTATTTATATATGACTGAGAAAAATGCATCAATGTGATTGGGAGAGAGTTGGCCAATTTATCATTAATTCTTAATTTGCACTGCAATACAACTTAATGCCTACACGTTTACAATTTTCTCAATCATAATTAATGAGTGATCGTATCAAAGCTCGAGCAACTGAGGATTTACATTGCTCGTGATATTTGAAAGTTCTTTCAAATTGCACTCGCCTTAAGGCTCTTGCAATTTTGAGAGAATTCTCAAGTATCATTCATTTTGTAAATCCTTAATTGCACTTGCATTCACATGATTACCTATATTATGCACCCTAAATGAGTGATAACTTAATGCTACCTATTTTCATTGTTTCTCCTCAGGTTAAGACTGTTGATATTCTTGCAGACACAACATTTGGAGAAGACAATGATGGTCTAAAAAATATAAAATCAGCTTTCTTGTTGTTCTGTCAAGGAAATGTTGTAAGTGTTGTTTAATGTGCAGTCAGAAAATTCATACAGACATACATACCTGCATGAAATGATTAAATTCAAGGGAGTATTAAATTATTTAAAAATGTTCATGTCCTAGAAGAAAAAAATATGTGTCTTTGAAAGCTTTTGAGAGCATTGAGGCTTGCAGATCATTGCAAGGTCTCAGTTTTGCAATTCTAATAAAAATTAGTATTGGATTGTTTTCAGAAAAAATTGTGAATTAAATGTGTAAATCAAGTGTCAGTAAATAGGAAGCAAAATTTCAATTTTGTGATAGAAGATGAAAATGTGTCTGTCTTATGTTTGCCTTAACTCACTGATGCCTGTACCGGCCGTAAACGGCCGTGACACATGTTGGCCTTTGTTCCACTTCTGACTTCATCACCTTTGACCAAAATTGGTATCACTTATCAAGCCTGCAAAGCATTCAAATCATAAGCAGGTCATTTGTCAGGCCAAGGACAAGTTTTGACCTGACAAAAAGTCAGTCTGGTCGGACAAATTAAAAATAAGAGACATTGAGACATTAAGTTTTGGTATTTCATTTTACTCCCTTTGCCAAAATGCTGGTTGCAAATTCAAATGACTTAAAGTAGACTCAACAGAGTGTAAAATCAATACTGGCACCAGAAAGGAGACCTTTAGGTTAAGTCAGGTATTATTTTACCTGTTGAAAATTGACAAATTAATAAATGTTTGTATCCCTAGTTTACCTTCACTCACTTGATCACACGTGTATTCCGTATTTTCCCGAATATCAAGTTTCCCAATGTCTAAGGAAAACCACGGGAAAAACGATGAAACAGTATCCAGCATGGACAGCTTGTGAGTATAAAAACTCACAATAACATTCAGAGACTTGAAATTGGCTGAAATGAATTCTTCAACTTTTTCAGAAAGCAAGTTTCCCCGAAAATTTTCTTTGGGGTTCAACTGAATAATAGATTTGAAAATTGGGATTTGAAGTGGTCGTGACTACAAAGCATGACTAATTTGTACGTTCACACTTTTCACAAAACATGTCTGTGGTATGGAAACCACAGACGTAAAAAAAACTATGACGAGATGTAAAGCGGATTTTTGATCATACGGACTTGTGAAACATTTGGTTACGTTTTAGTTGTTTTAAAGTTTTGAAAGCAATTGCATTCAGATAAAGTTGATAAATGAAACGCAAGAATTTTGCCGTGTATTCAATTTACATAATATTTTTCTTGGGCAAAATTACAACTGAAAATTAAATCCATAACACTTGCAGATAACAAACAACAACATAAGACCTCAAATTTTAGAAGTTTTTCAGAAGAACATTATTCAGACTACATGGGGCTTCACAATCTTTCACGACGCCACC